CGAAGACATCCGTTTGGAAGCCATTGCAAGATCCTTCAATTAGCTGCTCTGGGGCCCTTCAATTAGTTCTGGATGTTGAAAGGGAGCCGAGTTCTCTGCGACTGACGCGCGTCCACAAACAATCAGCCACCAGCATCAACAGGCCAACACAAATAGACGCAAGTCGAACAATATTAGCCAAATATTGACGTCCAAACAGTCCGGTGTGTGTGTTGGCTCCCACACGACGGCCGCCGTCCGCAGCCGGCGACCCGCAGCGGCCGTTCGGTGGGCCCGGTGACACTCGGCGGCTGAATCGGACCGACGCGACGGCCGGCCAGCTGCCAACGCCAGCGGTTAGGTGAAGACAGACCGCGGCCGCGACACGAACCGCGGCGGCGACATGGACCGCAGCGGCGACAGCATGACTACGGCGGCGGACTCAGAGATGGGAGGATAGGGTATGACGGTATAGCGAGAGAGGAGCGGGACGAGGGCTAGGGCGAAAGGACTGCGAGCGCCGAGCAACACTGGGACGAGAGGATAGGATGCGACCAGTCGACCGAGCCGGGACAGTTACATCATCCGAGCCGGGGGCCGTCACGTCTTCTTACCCTAGTTTCTTACCCTACTCCCTCCTCGTAGCTCCCCGATTAGCTCTAGTTTCTTACCCTACTCCCTGTTCGTAGCTCCCCGACTCTTGGTGGGATGACCATCAGGCATAAGCAGAACGGCGGCCTTCCGCCAGAGCCGGTCACCTAACTGCCCGTCTCTCAAAGTCAGTCCTGACAGGCCGGCCGTCAGCCGGGGTCAGCCGAGGGCGGACGCTAACCGATGCACAAACACTGAGCTCGGCACCGTACGCATTAGAGCCGAGCGGGCGCGGCACTGAGTGGATCCACAGCCGACGGGGTGAGCCGTGACTAAACACACTGCACCGTGAACGGATCAGACCCGGCAACCACCTTCGACGGATACGGGATGGTGACCGGTGAGGGCAATTCACCATTGTGTATCTCAAATATCCGCTGTTGGAACTTGAATAACATGACTGCACTGCAGTGCAGTAAGGAAGGTGGTTTCAAAACAATGCTGAAAGGCGTATGGAGTTGGGTTATTTGAGCTTAACCAGAAGCCGGCTGTTTCAGAGTAGCAGGTGTTTGGACAGTGGAGCCGGGTCATCGAATGAAAGCAGATTAGAAAGAGCAAGGTCATCGAGGAAAGAGGGGACAATGGGAGGCATTGGTCGGACGATATGCGGTGAAGTAAGCAGAGATTGAAAGAAAGGACGGGTAAATGTTGTCATGGGACAGAATAAGTCCGCAGAAATTAGGGACCGCCAGCCAGTCAACCATCCAAGAGTCGGTCACTAAAAGAATAGAGCTCGACGTACCGGTCCCGTCCTCCCGGTCTCCATGCTCCATCACCCTCTACCGTCCTCCGGCACCCGACAGCGGCTGGCTGACAGCCCAGCGGGCCGTTTGAAGCGGCGCACCGAGCGCGGCACGGCCGTCCGTCCCGTGTCGCCGCCGATCCAGCCGTGAGCCGCACACCGGGCACGGAGCCAGCCCGCTCCATGGACGGCGGACGTCCAGTGGGGCGGTCTGTCACACTGTGGGACCGTCTGTCATGGTATGGGACCGTCTGACACACTGTGGAACAGCTGCAGCTGGCACGAGCCTCTTGCACATGCCGGCACGGAACAGGAAGTCGGACCTTCACACGCCCCGAGGTCCGGGTCAATTCAGAACTGAGAGCACACAAAGGGACAGCCCTCACACGTGGCCAAACCGCTATCCATCGCGGGTCACTGAGCCCTATTTGCCAAGCACAATGATCACGTCAGCCATCAATGATAGCTAGTCAGTGTGCAGTGTGCAGCCCGAACCCCTTCATCACTACAAGTGGTGTATGGCCACACTGACTCACATAGGGGACAGACTGAGACAGAGAAAGACAAACGGTGACGCGCGCCGCGCGCCGGGACCGCCACAATCGCTCACCCATTGTCTCCGGCGCGCCACGAATGCAGCACTGCATTCTGGCAGTGAGCCAGGCGGGCCGGAAGGCGGCAGCCGGCAGCCACCGCCGGATGCCGGCTCGGCATAGAGACGCCGACGGCGGAAGGAGGGACAAAAGGACGGACGGTAGACGACGATCTACGCATGGTGACAGAACGTCCCAAAGCGGAACGCAGCTGGTTGCAACACTTGCAAGTACCGATACAGAACAGCGTCGTTGAGGCACTGGAATAATCCGTGATCCGTGCCGTACTGGACCATATTCTGCTCCACTTTCGATACACTATCTTGATTTTACGAGCGGCAGCCTGAATAAAAATAAAGTAATTAAAATCATTGTTGGCGTACCAGATCAGCATTATTCACCGCACACGTCATGGGAGGTAAGCTGTGAGTAAGCTGGGATTCTTTATGCATCGCAGCTGTTTATCCTGGCCGGGGCTCGCCGAAAATTAGAACCGTCCGCTGCCCGCCCGTCATAACATCCGTCACATGCTGCCGTCAGCGACACAACGAACGAGTTGCAACACACCTCACAGCTCTAAAACAGCACGGCAAATTTTCGACATGCCGCTGGGATGGGGTGAGCGCTGAACAGTGATAGTGGCGGGCGCACCAGCGCGGACGAGCGGTCCAGACGTCAGCCGCCACCGTCACAACATCACCCAGATTCTCGTCCAGTGTCCACGGCGGTCCACCAGAGATCACCCAGACATCACCACGTTACTTACAACTCACAAGTGCATCACCACTACCACCCAAATCCTTCTCAGTTCGCCATAATGTCTTTTCACCGACCACCACAGCCTACAGTTTACAGCCCTCAGTTGAAAGCTCCCACCTTGAAAGCTAAACACAATCCACGAGTCACAGTTTGCAGTCCCAGCGCGTCACAACCCACAGCTCAGAAGCTTTCATTACAGCCCACAGCCCCCACCTGTCACAGTCCAAATCCCTCGCCCCCACCCCGTTCCCCGTGTCGGATGACGGTGCGGTGTCCGGTAGCGCTCCACACGCCCCAGACTCGGCACGTACCGGGGTCACCAAACCACCGCGGGCACGGGTCAGAAGCTCGCCCACGGCAAAACGCTGAGGTAGGCAGGAGGGCTGACAGCCAAGGGACGGACCGCAACCATCGGTATGACTGCTGAGGACCGGCAACGGTTGCCAGTATGCCAGCCACGCGAGCAGCCACTGCCGGATCCGCATTGTCGCCGACAAAAAACAACTGTCACTCGGGCTAAATTTGGAGGTTGCAGCATTCCCGTGAAGAGGGAGGCGCAAACACTAAACAGCCACCTGATATCTTATGGCATGTGTTCTCCTCCAAAAATGAGCTCCCGCAGCCAGGCGACACAATGTCCCCTCTTGACGTCAGGCTAAGCGGCGCTGCACATGATGGCGTGCCTTCCGTGACGCCACTCGTACTAAAAGCGCCGACCACCGGTCTATTTGGTGATGACGATTAGGGCTTTACTATCGACTAACGACACCTGCTGCATTGTGCCGGCGTCAGGGGGCGTGTAGCTGATAAACTATCACACGGACGCCAATAAAGTCGATTGCACGTGCCGTTAGTGGGCGGCCCGAGCCGAGGCCGGCTAGTTGGATCCGAGCCGAGGCCGGCTAGTTGGATCGACTGAACCCGGCCGCACAGAGGAGCGACTTAGCTGTCAGGTCGAATATTCAAGCGCTTCAGAACGAATGTACTAGAAGGCGGTGGACAGTGGAAAGTGGACATGGGTGGACTCTGAGCGCTAGCGGTCACCGTCAGCAGCCATTAATCAGCAATCAGCGGCCAGCAGCCAAGAGTGGATAGCCGACACATTGCGCTGCTGCTTTCAGGCTAGGTGATCATTTGACCCCACTAGACGCTTGTGACTGGTAACGAAAATTGGTTTCATGTTGTATCGTGAGGCGCGATGTGTTGTGCCGTAATGAGACACGATGTGCCGATGTATTATAAAACGGAACCAACTGACCGGCCAAAACCCAGGCAAAGTTCAGGAGGCTCTTCACCTAACCAGCACGGGGCACGCTCCAAACTCAGACATGGACGCCTCCGCGAGCATCCTCAGTCGCTGCACCACGAGCGTTTGTCACGCCACCTCATGATCGGGATGATTCAGACTGGGGCTGCTCTAAAAGCGGCTGACTTAAGCTCGTAACTCGTCCGACGAGACAAGCTCCTACGGGGTGAAGGTAGAGCTGGCCGCGGCTGGGGAGCTGACGCCGCTAAGGCAGGGTTGGCTAGCACGCGAACAACGGCGGTCGAGGGAAAAGGTCGCCTTCTCAGTCAGTCCCCTCCTTGGTTAGTCGCTTCCCAGTAGCGCTAACCCTCCGGTACCCACAGACAAGACAGCTGGCTTTACCGCACCGCAGTCGTCATTCGTTCATCGCTACTTATTAACCGCTTCTTGGAAGACAAAATGTTGGGACAGAATCGTCAGTCCCATTGTCGCATCCTCTCCACTTATTTCCTCTAACGGACCCTGTTCTGTTCTCAGTACACTCAGAGTCCAAACACTCCTTGTTCATCCATCATCCATGATCACGAGCAGCCCGGAGTCAGCGGTCGCACGCCCCGACCTACCCCGTTCAGTCCAGACAGCGACCCGACCGACCGACCGACCAACCGGGCGGTGGTTTTCCACGACGTCCGCCGGCGCGCCGGTGCGACCGCTCCGAGGGCGTTAACCGCTTCTGGGTCCGGCCATTCTACAGCCCACCTGAGGCGTGCCGCGGTCCGATAGCCGCCTCCAGACGAGCCGTCACCCCGTCTGGGAGCGGTCCGTCCCTGACAGTGACCTTGAGGTCACCCCGACAACAGACAGACACGGGAGCAGACAGCGCCCGCAGAGATGCCCACAGACAGCTCAGCGCAGTGCCGGGTCTCAGCGGCGGGGCTGGGAGTCACCTGAGGGGGCGACCAGCTGATCGGGAGGGGCGGGGGGCGGCGCCGACGGCCGGTCCGACCGCGGCGGCGGCGGCGGCGGCGGCAGTGGCTCGTGGCGACCGGTGGGCGGCGGACAGAGGGACCGGCGGAGGACAGAGGGACCGGCGGAGGACAGAGGGAGGCAGAGGACGGGAGGAGACCCCGGCCACTGCTCAGACTCAGGTGAGAAGTCGACTGGGGTCAACCCGGTATACAATATTTACTTATACGGCGCTAGAGTAAATAGGAAGAAAAACTGTTCAACCGTTAAACTGAACCCCACCAATTTTATTACAATATACGCGATGCTCGTTAAAGTGAACAACTCACAAATGTTTCTACATACGCGCACCCTTTGTCAGATCGGTTCTGGTATGACTGGGACGTTTATCGGGACGGTATCCCAGTTGGTATGCAGTTATAAGTCGTCTGCTTGTTCGCTTGACCGATGCCATAAATAATAAAACGCACCTCGTGTATTTTCATGTACCGCCAGATAACAGTTTAAATATGACTTAGCTGCCAAAGGGTTGGACAAAGAAACAGTAGAATTGAGTCCCCTGTGTTTGTTACCATACCGTTTCCTTCCAAACGAGTTGAATTGTGTGTTGACTCACGCTGTCTGCGGCGCTAAACAAAGATGGTCTGACATCACCAAAACAGTTACCTGAAGTCACGGCGGCAGCATTACGTAGGTGAACCGTCCTCGCTGAGCACAGCAGGCTCACACACCCTGAATGCGACGCCACGGTAACTAAATGATGTCTGCGTCATCACCTGTCTTCCAAAACGGATCCACCCCTAGATACAGTCGTCTAGCGTCACCGTCATTGAATGTGCTCCGGAATGGGCTCCTTATCCAGCAAGGATTGGTGATGGATGGACAGTATTCTAAGCAGCATCCATTGAAAATCAAAATGAAACAACTACTTGACATCGAGTCCCCCGTCCTTTGCAGCCACGGTTGCAGGCTTAAACATATTTACTCAGAGCATATTTAGCTTTCACCCCAACACCGCAGCCTCTATACGCCTCTCATGCTCCCAGTCATGGTGGACGGTGACCGCTCCCTGTCCTGCACCGTGGCCCACTGTCCACGCAACCAGCCCCTGCTAGATGGTTGGGGGAGATACAGAGGGGAGAGATACCGAACCGAGACTGATACGTCTTCATCGTGAACGGTGGATGAACCGCATTTCCGGACAGGTGGCTTTGTTCTGAATACGGCACGCTACCTCGGATTTACCCCAGCGCTCTCCAGTCCCCACCCGTGAGTCAGACAGGAGGCCACCCGGTAGACACTCCCCTCGAATAGACCGCAGCAGATAAGGCAGGCATGGGGCTCCGAATCGCTCGCTATGAGCCGCATGAGATGTAATGAAAGCCTCCCACGACGCCGATCCGCGTCACACCTCTCCACCGAGACCGGTCGTATGCACTGCATGGGCCCAACACCTCGGTATCCAACTGAGGCACGCTGGTCGGAATTTCTTGCCCTCATGGCGACACATCTCTGCTGCCGAGTGACGTGCCGTAACGAGCACCATGATTTGTGGCGCTGACAGAGTTAGAGATAGAGGCCAAGTATGACCGGATAATCACTAGAGAGCGAGTGTTCCGGTACGCGCTTCTTTATTTTTATGTATCCGTGACCGAGTATCGAACACCTATCTATTCAGCATTCACGCAGTTAGAAGAAAGGGAGAAAAATTGACTCAGAAGAAGTCTAATTATCCCCAGAAACACCGTGCGAGAACCAGTAAAACTGAACCTGAATTTGATAGCAAACGTTCATTAGTGATACACCAAGGGGAAACGTATTGACGAATCGACAGAATATTGGTGAATTCGCCAGACCTCAGCCATCGATTATTGACCCAGCGCATGACCTTCAGGCCGACTCTCCGGCCTCTTTCGCGGTCTTCAGACACCATAAAAAAGACTATTTTCGGCCAGTATCGTGTCTCCTCTACTGATCTTTGACTGGGAGCTGTACGCTGTGCAACGCGGCATCAGTTGACCACGCCCGTTTGCGTTTCCCTTTCAGTTCGAGAGGAGCAGTTCCCTCCCCTAACCCGTGGGCAGCGGCACTAACTCAGCGCTAGCAGCTCGCACCCAGCGGCAGCCATGGGCAGTGTGGACATGGCCGAGCTGTTCAGCCGCGTCGGCGAGGAGCTGCGCACCCAGGAGGGCAGCCGGATCCACCGGCAGCTGCGCGAGGCTACCAGCGGCTCTGGTCGGCTGGCCGCCCTGCTGCAGCTCTCCGCCATGGCCGAGGCGACACCCCAGGGCCCCGGTCGGCTGGACAAGTCGCGGCCGGCCGCCACCGAGTGGCTGCTGCGCGAGCGGGACGCCGGCTCCGACCAGGAGCGGCTAGCGCTGCTCAACCTGGCCGTCCAGTTCGCGCCCACACCCGGCTCCGAGGAGCAGCAGCCGCTCGAGCTGCGCGACCACGGCCAGACGCTGACGGCCGCCCTGCTGCGCCGCCAACACGTGCTGCACGGCTGCGGCCGGCCAGAGGACCGCGCCGCCAACGCGCTCTACCTGAGACAGCTGCGAGACGTGCTGCCAGAGGCCACCAGCAAGAAGTTTGAGCGCGAGCTGGAGTCTGTGCTGGCGGCTGCCGACGAGCAGCCGGCTGCAGACGAGGAGCGGCCCTTCAAGCTGCCCAAAATCTACGGCGGGCTGCACTACAAGCTGAAGCGCACGTCGGCGCTGGTGAACCCGGCCTACGTGGAGGGCAAGGGCCGCTGCCTGGTGGCCAACGAGGACATCCCGCCCGGTGAGTCAACATCGCTGCTCTGTGACACATCAGCTCACGGCACATATGTATGTACACACTAAACATAAACTAAAAATCTATTGGATACTGGCATAGAATCCAGTCCAAGTAAACCCGATGAGCAGCTGGGCTTACGGGGTCTCGTAACGCCCCTATCGTTTAAGAGCACAGAAGATTGTGCTCATTTTGCGCGAGTAGTTGGTTTGATGTGAGCCAGTCGTCAAAATATGCACGATAGAAAGGAAAAGAGGTATCTTACGCGGAATCTCACCGCCCAATACTACCGTGCTCTAGCTCGTATATCGGTGTATTCTGACCGGACTCTGACCGCCCCGTTCCGTGTGCGGCAGGCTCGGTGCTGATCACGGACTCGCCGTACGCCTGGGCTCTGGGCTCGGACCGGTGGCAGACCCACTGCCAGAACTGCTGCCGGCGCACTCTGGCTCCGGTGCCGTGCACTCAGTGCGCCGCAGTCGTGTTCTGCAGCGCCGGCTGCCGCCAGGCCGCCTGGAGCCGTTTCCACCGCGCCGAGTGCGGTATTCTGGAGCACCTGCGCGGCGGCGGCCTGACGCCGATGGCTCTGATGGTGGCGCGCACTGCGCTGACGGCCGGTATGGCCCGGCTGCGGCCCTACCTGGCCCGCTGCGACTCGTACGACATCACCGACGTCGATCCGGCCGCCGTGTACGACTCGCTCGAGTACGACGCCGTGTTCGACCAGGTGCCCAACAGCGCGTTCCGCTCGATCCTGGACGCGATCCGTCGCGGCACGCTGGCCATCTACCTGCTGCGCTGCCTGCTGCTCACCGAGCTGGCCGCGCCGCCAGCTGAACTCGACGAGCGCCAGCAGCTGCAGCTGGCCGCCCTGCTGCTTCGACACCTGGAGAGCTGCGCCTGCAACGGCTTCCAGCTGAGCGAGCTGGTGCCGGCCGAGGAGCTGGGCCGAGACGCTGACGACGAGCCGGAGGCCGTGGAGCTGGGCGGCGCCGTCAGCGCCACCATGAGCCTCATCAACCACAGCTGCGACCCCAACATGACGCGCGTCAACCACGGCCGACACCTGATCGCCATCACCACGCGGACCGTGGCCGCCGGCGAGGAGCTCCAGGACAACTACCGGGCGCTGTTCCACGAGGCGCCGCGCGCCGTGCGCCAGGCAGCGCTGCTCGAGCGCTACCACTTCACCTGTCGGTGCTCGGCGTGCCGGCTGCACTGGCCCATGTACGACCGGCTGTCGGCGGTGGCGCCGCGCGCCGCCGTGCGCGACCTGCTCGAGACCGGCGCGCAGTCAGAGTCAGACGGAGAGTTCCGCAGCGCCGCGCAGGCGTTCGCCGCCGCCGCCCAGCTGGTCGAGGCCGACCACGACGACCCGCTGCAGCCCAACCGGCTGCTGGTCGACTGCCAGGGCTACCTGACCCGCTGTCTGTGGCTGGCCTACCGACTGTGAGCGGCCAGCGGGAGAGGATGGAAAGAGAATCGTCAGACAGGGCCCGGACAGAGGCGGCGATCGATTGCGAGCGGCCCACGGCGCCCGGCTTGGTGAGGAGCTGAGACATCACCTGTCCCAGACAGAGTCATGAGACGAGCTACCGCTGGCAGAGCGAGATCAGCAGGAGATCGTTACACCCCTCTAGGGTTAGACGACACCCCAGTCGTTAGTGATCCATGGGCGAGCGGCGCCCGAAGACATGAACTAGTCCCTCGATGGCTGTTACGCCGTCTCGGCGCGGCGCGCGATGTGCGGAGTATAGGTGGGGGCAGCTCGGTGAAGGGGAGCTCTAGCCGTGTGTCTCGACCGGTGTCTCTCCGAGGGGCGGACGGTGACCCGGTCGGACGGATCCGCCGCCGGGGCGGTATGTAGACGCCTTGGAGCGGCGACTCTCATCCCCGGGCCGGTCGAATGGTCCGCACCGGCCGGTCAGTCAGCTGACGGGCGGACGCCGACCTTGGCCGTCAGCTGAGCGCCGCATGGCGTGACCGAGCACCGGCGGCCGCCCGGTCCGCCCACTGTAGACGCCGGAGCGCAGTGCAATAAACGGGCCCGCGGGGCTCACCGAGCCGCCATCGAGACGGTGTTTGCAAAACCTGACGTGATAGGGGCGGAGGGGCAGCTCTGAATAATTGCCACCATGCAGCCGAGATTTGACAGGGGAGGGAGAGGGGCTGAGCGGGCGAGTAGCGGGGTGAGCCGGCTCCACAGGGGCGCAGTCGTGCGAAACGGACATTTGGAGCTCAGGTGGGCAAACAGACACGTGAAACACCAGATGCACCATTCTGGCGCCCTCCCAACGTTTCTTACATCTATTATCTGAAGCCATATGCAGGTGACAGGTAGCTACCACTCCGGTCCGGCTTCAATTCTTGTCCTTTTATGTCTCCTTTTATTTCTCTTCATTTCAATTTCTCTGGCACATGCCCACTGCCGTCTCCCGTCCGTCTCTCTAGTACACTTCCGTCTCATGCCTCATGTCTTCTTGCATTGTCGGAAATCTCTCAAAAGCGCGTGGGTGAAGGGATTAAACCCCATCCCAAGCCCGTACCAAGTGATAACCATCCAGCAGAGCGCTGTCGCCGGGCTGATTCTGGCGGCTCTCAGTTTCAGCACAAGACAGAGGTCGTCCCGGATGCGGTCCAGTTTTTGTCTCCGTTTTATTTGGGACTCCGGTCAACCGTTGAGCAGTCTGCAGTCGGCCGACGGGCGGTCCGAGCGGCAGTAAACGAGCGGGTCGCCAGAGAGACGTCTGTGTACTAACTAACGTCGGCTGGGGTCGTTACGGGTCGCCGAACTCGACACAACGGCTACAGTTGATGTCAGCTGTTCCCCTGACTGGGGTAATCCTCTTAGCAAGAAACACTCACAAAGGCGGCGGATGCACAGGTCGGGTTAAAAGCGACAGACGAATCGGGCAGGTGTGGGGCAGCTCGTCTCTGCGGAGTATTCGGTTCACATTTTGACGTCCTGCAGAGCACCACAACTTGAGCTAATGAGTGGCTGTTTCTAAAGCTAGACAACCGGGAACGGACGGTCAGGGCTCGAGCTCCGTCCTGGGACACCAAACACGACAGCCATACGCGCCAACCAGCTCGATTTTCGTATAAATAATTTAAAAAAAAACTGGTAAACGTCGCAGGCTGCGGTAGACCTTCGCCGGAATGTAATTATAGTTACATGTTATGTAAGCATATTTTGAAGTTTGACGCAGCTTCAAGTATTTAAAAAAGCTATTTTGAGTTACATGGAGTTAAGGTAATCCACTATGCAGCGCAGATGCAAGCGATGTGCGTCGCCTCTATTTAAACTCCCGGGCTAAACTCAGGTGGAATAACTCAGGCGGTCAATGATTGGTCAAATATAACAGCGCATGGGCAAAATAAGAACCTCAATTAGCGACCAATCTTTGACACCAAGGGAACTTGCTTTGGTCGTGAGCTAAGGACATGCTACCAACTAGGTATACATTCCAGATGTCGCATTGCAGGAATGAAAACAGAACCACACCGCACGTCTCCGTTGTAATCCGACGGACAGCTAGACACAAACCTGAGCCTCCTCGCCATATTTTTGTCGACGGCAGACCGGAGAATAGCACCATCGACAGTGGCTATAACTCATGATGACGGCCTTATAAAACCCATACGTGGCGTTCTCCGAATAATGAGAGGATTGACGACGCGGAGCTGCAGCCCATCCGCCATCGTCAGCCGAAGTCGTTCTGCCGCGCCGCGCCGGGGCGGCGCCGTCGCCGTCTATCTCGGTCTGCCTCTCTGACCCCGGTCAATGATGCGGCCGTTAGGGCCAGCGACGGTCTGAGTACCGGGTAGCAGACGGGCTTGGCTGGACAGTAAAGCTGTTATGACCCAGACGGTTGACCTTGTCACGTCCAGGCGGTGCAGGTCATAGAATCGTCACAGGATTCGGCAGACCCAAACAGCAGAGCTTGCTAGACCTAGACTACAACGAAATAGATTAATCCAGGTCGAGCTTCACCTGACCCAGGCGGTAGCGCTCGCCTAATTTAGACAGTAGAATTCGCCTTACCATAGTGTAATAAATAACAAGTGAAGACACTTCGATTATTTTGTGTAATGCGTTTTCTTCTGCCGGAAGTGCTCTCTCAGAAAATCAACGATATCTGATGACGATTGATGACGTTTTCGTCATTGTAGTGCAAAAGTTTCATCCCTGTAGTGAAAACTTCTAACCCAAGAAACTACTATCCAAGCTTGTAGTTATATAAGTGTTGGTTTTAACAGCTAATTCACCCTTATTTTCTACAAAACACTGAAAATAAATCCCTCTACACGCAACTTGAAATGAAATATCACTTAAACATAATGAGAAGACCAAAAACCTATTTTTACTACACATCTTTACAAGCTAAGAATGTCTTCTTTATGCCAGAATGGGTATAGCGTATGAACACAGGGACAGGCCCCACAGCTCGCAATACCTAAGAATTCATGTTCTCTTATCAGGCATATCGTTCGGAAGCTGTGTAAATGCCGACGCAGTGTTAAAATGGGCCAAACAGCTATTCATCAACTGGGCATTTCACCGGGCTGAAACGCATCGATGTCCCCTGATTTTGCATATTATAATGCATTCAATAGGAACAATGAACATGCGATGACTCTCATTCATTTCGCGCAATAAAAAGCATAGGTTCTCAAGTCAAAGTGAAGGAAAAGACCGATCAAAATGACTCGTATAATACAGACTTTGTTTAAATACTCTACACTTTTAGGGGCTGGTACTGTTATGGTGTCCTCTATTTTTGAATATTTTCATACCAGTTCTGTCACATTGCATTCAGTTAGCGATCATACATGCAATAAAAACAGTGGGTTCTCGAGAGTAAAGTTACAGAATAGAGTGAATGCTGATACGATGTTCAGCATGTTGGAGCGCAGTTAGATCGAAGAGCACTTTTATCGGGCTGTGGCACATCGATGTCCTCTGATTTTGAATATTTTCACGCATTTTATAAGAAAATGCGATTATTTTCTTTCATTAAATGCAATAAAAAACATGGGTTCTCGAGTCTATGTCAATCAAAGGACCGATCAAAATGGGTTATGTTTTAGAGACGTTGTCAAAATACCCTACACTTTTTAGGAGCCGGTGGTGTTATGATGTCCTCTGTTTTTGAATATTTTCATACCGGTTCTGTCACAATGCATTCAGTAAGCGACCATACATGCAATAAAAACAGTGGGTTCTCGAAAGTAACGTTACGGAATAGAGTGAATGCTGATACGACGTTCAGCATGTTGGAGCGCAGTTGGATCGAAGAGCACTTTCATCGGGCTGTGGCACATCGATGTCCTCTGATTTTGAATATTTTCACGCATTTTATAAGAAAATACGATTATTTTATTTCATTAAATGCAATAAAAAACATGGGTTCTCGAGTGTATGTCAATCAAAGGACCGATCAAAATGGGTTATGTTTTAGAGACGTTGTCAAAATACCCTACACTTTTTAGGAGCCGGTGGTGTTATGATGTCCTCTGTTTTTGAATATTTTCATACCGGTTCTGTCACAATGCATTCAGTAAACGACCATACATGCAATAAAAACAGTGGGTTCTCGAGAGTAACGTTACGGAATAGAGTGAATGCTGATACGATGTTCAGCATGTTGGAGCGCAGTTAGATCGAAGAGCACTTTCATCGGGCTGTGGCACATCGATGTCCTCTGATTTTGAATATTTTCACGCATTTTATAAGAAAATGCGATTATTTTCTTTCATTAAATGCAATAAAAAACATGGGTTCTCGAGTCTATGCCAATCAAAGGACCGATCAAAATTGGTTATGTTTTAGAGACGTTGTCAAAATACCCTACACTTTTTAGGAGCCGGTGGTGTTATGATGTCCTCTGTTTTTGAATATTTTCATACCGGTTCTGTCACAATGCATTCAGTAAGCGACCATATATGCAATAAAAAACAGTGGGTTCTCGAGAGTAACGTTACGGAATAGAGTGAATGCTGATACGACGTTCAGCATGTTGGAGCGCAGTTGGATCGAAGAGCACTTTCATCGGGCTGTGGCACATCGATGTCCTCTGATTTTGAATATTTTCACGCATTTTATAAGAAAATGCGATTATTTTCTTTCATTAAATGCAATAAAAAACATGGGTTCTCGAGTCTATGTCAATCAAAGGACCGATCAAAATTGGTTATGTTTTAGAGACGTTGTCAAAATACCCTGCACTTTTTAGGAGCCGGTGGTGTTATGATGTCCTCTGTTTTTGAATATTTTCATACCGGTTCTGTCACAATGCATTCAGTAAGCGACCATACATGCAATAAAAACAGTGGGTTCTCGAGAGTAACGTTACGGAATAGAGTGAATGCTGATACGATGTTCAGCATGTTGGAGCGCAGTTACATCGAAGAGCACTTTCATCGGGCTGTGGCACATCGATGTCCTCTGATTTTGAATATTTTCACGCATTTTATAAGAAAATACGATTATTTTCTTTCATTAAATGCAATAAAAAACATGGGTTCTCGAGTCTATGTCATTCATAGGACCGATCAAAATGGGTTATGCTTTAGAGACGTTGTCAAAATACCCTACACTTTTTAGGAGCCGGTGGTGTTATGATGTCCTCTGTTTTTGAATATTTTCATACCGGTTCTGTCAAATTGCAATCAGTAAGCGACCATACATGCAATAAAAACAGTGGGTTCTCGAGAGTAACGTTACGGAACAGAGTGAATGCTGATTGCTGATACGATGTTCAGCATGTTGGAGCGCAGTTACATCGAAGAGCACTTTCATCGGGCTGTGGCACATCGATGTCCTCTGATTTTGTGTGTACCAAGGCATTCTGTAAGAGACTGGGATTATTTACCTTCATTTAGTGAAATAAAAAACGTGGGTTTTCATGTCTAAGTCAATTAAAAAATCCATCATGACGGGGCATGGAAGACGATGATGTAGGCTGAGGATAACGTTCAATCAGTTCAATGATTTAGGGAGTGACGTTTTATGACGTTTTATTACGTCATACTGCAGCGTGAGTAGCTACATAGCCCACTTCCAGCTGAAGAAAAGTTGTTACATGAGTTTGCATTATACATTGGTGAAGTGTCTTCACTTGTTATTTATTACACTATGGCCTTACTTAGGCGGTAGAGTTAAGTAGGCCCTCGCCTGGCCTCGCCCTTATCGATCCCCAAGTGACCCACCTTTCCACCGATTGAAGGCCTCCATGTCGTTTTTCCAGGGCACCTTTTGTTCTGCAGACCGGTCAGGTGGAAGAGACGGTTACCGTACTTGAGAGCCACGAACCTGGGACGGAAAGGACAGACGGCGGTGATAAGTCATTAATAAGTCACAATTAATTATTGAACCAACAGTGACTGCAACAGTCAGTCACAGTCTATAGACCAACCGGCCAGTAACTGCCAGGAGCATGGCAACGTCCCACTCCCGCCCATCCCGACCCGAACCACTGAATAAACGATGACTTTCGGCTCCTTCCACCGACCTACGACGGACAACGCGATACGCATAGAAATCCCCATCAAACATGTAACACACAGGCACCTTGATAACAGTAAAAGAGCGGATGGCGGTCGGTTCGTAACTGACCTGAAGTAGTCCCTCCAGAGCAGCTCAAAGAGCACCCAGTAGGTGGACTTATTGGCCGTCCGCTGTTTCTCGTATCGGCCGATCTCCGAGTGAATGTAACGCGGCGACAGACAGCCCAGCGACAGCCTGCAGACGGAGGTAGTGGTAAAAATCTCAGACAGCGCAGTAGAGATTTTAGGCACTATCACTTCAGACGGTGATCGGTTCCGTGGGCGGGTGAATTCAGTGTCGCCACTGTAAACGTGTGAGCTGAGACAGCAAATATAGCTACATGTAACCAATTGGAAAGGCAGAGCAATACTTGAACATTAGACACCCGCAAACTCCGACCCTACACTCACAGTGTGAGGCTCCACAGAACAATATAATCGGTACCAACGACACGTAAACCAGCACAGGTCGGTAAGCAGCACTAGCAGTCAGAGTTTGCGCCGTCAGCCCACAGAGGGCACCGCAATCAGCCGGCAGATCACCCCTCTAACCGCCCACAGAGGTCGCACTACACGCTATCGACCGCAGCCACACTCACCATGGACTGAACTTGGTCGAGTAGTCCTCGCCGCTGAGTCCATTACGGGTCTCCTTGTAGGTTGCCACGGCGTCTGTTTCCCAGAGGTAGTGGTGCACGCGGGCCAGGCCGGACGTCTCGCCTCCCGGCCAGGGGAAGGCGGTGCGCGGCTCCCCGGGCGACTCCCCCTCGGGGAGGCCGAGGTCAGCCGGCGCCGGCAGCGGGCCGCACTCGAGTCCGTCCGGCAGCGGCCGCAGCCGGTCCGGCATCTGCAGCGGCGGACGCACGCGCCCGCCGCCCTCCACCGCCTTACGGAACTGCGTGTACACGTCCGGCGTCCTGGGCGGAGGGGAAGCACACGGTCAGTGAGAGCGGGCAGGACGAGACGGCAGGGAAGGGGTTGTGAGGGGGCAGAGAGCAGATGGCAACACTTGAAGTTCGCCACAGTGGGCGCTCAGGGCAACCGAGGAAGGCAGGACCGGACCGAGCGACATTGTTTAAAATATACAGAGGGCTATTAATAACCAAAGCGAGCCATAAATATACTCAAGTTTGACAAAGTAAATAGTGGTATTACAAAAAACGTGAGCATGCAGAAGTGACCTAGATAATCAGCCCTTCTAATTGTACAATTGGCTGAAAGCAAATACCTTACGGTAGCCTGCGTTATGGACCTACTGGTTCACGGCGAACGGCAGGTCGTCGCGATGGTAGAGCGTGGCGCCCCAGACGGTGTGGACGGGCACACCGAGCGCGCGGCATCGCTCGACCAGCGCGCGCTCCACGCACACCTCCTCATCGGTGGCCTCCTTCTGGAGTACCAGCGAGAGCTTGTGACCGGCCAGCGCGGCCGCCAGCTCCGGCACGGCCGTCTCCGGCGTGCCGGAGCGCACCACCAGGCCGCTGCCGCGCTCCGCCAGCCGACCCCGCAGGTCACGCACGCTCTCCAGCAGGAACCGCGACCGGTGAGCGCCTGTCTTCGGGAAGCCAAAGTGGTGTGTCGAGGCGAAATGACGCGGGTCGAAACAGTACAGTGGGACCACCAGCTCGGCAGAGTGGTGTGCCTTGTGCAGTACCTTGGGATGGAAAAAACTCAGGTCAGTATCAGTTACGGACATTGGTGATCTTATGGGTTATAAGTACATCTGACAACAACAGAACCTCATGCAATAGCATTAAGTGTTTGGTAACAGAACAAATAACAATAATGGCCTGGGTGCTTTCACGAACCCCATCGCAGCAGCTTGATCTCCTGAGTCTTTACCTCGTTATCAAGGTACCGTAGATCATTTCTAAGAAGAGCAATCGCAACCTTCTTTCCAGACATCTTGTCTTGCAGTTTGTGATCTCAAATATTAAGCTGCAAAAGGACCAGCCTGAAACAAGAATACATCATAAGGTTAAGCAAACATACTCAAAACAGCTGGGAAAAAGAATTTATTAATTAAAACAATACTCAATTACTGACTATGTTTTAACTATAACTGCATGTCGCAGCTTGGAGTCTCCAGACGTCTCCAAAATAGCCAAGCTGAGCCTCTTAGTCTTATGCTATGTAACAGCAGCACACAAAAACAAGCCACCAGGCATAATGAAACAGGAAACTGATGATATGCCTACTTCTGAGACCACCGGAATCATCTTAAGGTTCTGAAAATGTTCTCAGTAACGTTACCACACAGATAGGTACAATCAATTCAATAATTTCCAGCAGCTACTCCAACGACCCCCTCACCAACTTACAATCACAACCTGAGACCACTTCGCACGCGTTGTTATTACATAACGCCACCACAACACACATTTCTAGACATTGTTTTGTCGCAATATCGCTATAAGCGTCAAAAAGCCGAATAAATAACTGCTACTAAATTATGTTTGTTGGTGAGGGGCACAAAAGGCAGTTGAAAACTTTAGAAATATTATTATGAAGGTCATAAAACCTATGCAAGCAATATTTCATTGAAAAATAAAATGGACTTCGGATGCGTATGATAGCCATTAAAAGGTATCATTTTACAACAGACGGTTACACAAACACTGTTTCAATTTTTATCTGGCACTCCAACTCGATTTATCACTTGGAGGACTATACCTACTTAAACAAAACTTGAACTATCACTTTATGGCAAGATCGTGGGCGCCCCGGGTGCATGCCTTGTCGCTTGTGGTCGACGATTACGTCAACTGAATCGATCACTGCCCAGATCTAGGTACCCAGACTGCTGCTGTGGTAAGGGTTATTTCCCATAAGCAGCATCTTGTGCAGGATAATACCTACCTTCTTTACCCATGGAATACCCATCTATGTAACATAATTGGAATTAGGTGATATCTGCTAATTCGATATGCCTAATTAAAGTAGGCAATCAACCAGACAGGAATTGGGTCATTGAACTCTGACCTCGCCCTCGGTGCACGGGCGGTGCACCAACGGACGAACGCGGTACACCTCGTCCCCCCTCCCCCATCGTCAACTATTGATGTCATGTAATGCTACGCCACGTTACACGATACCCGTAATTGCTTTGTGTTCATCCGATGGGCGGATGCAAATCTGAACTGTAGCGCTGTGACAGTGTCTCTCAGGGACGACGAATGTGCACATCATCCCTGGTACAGCACTGTTGGCCGGCGCAGTGCGCACCAAAGCATAGTCCGAACCGCGGCCCTAATGTGGTGGGGTGCGCGGCCGACGGCGCCAGTTTCGGCAGGCCCGTGTTTCTAGTCGTCTCCATGGAAACCGCGTGCCACTACCACCGCCGCTGCCACCTCGCGTGCCTGTAACATCAGGAAATGTGCGACGGAGGTCCTTGGCCCGGCTGTTCTGAGCTCTAAGGCACCTTACCCGAGGCTGACCTCTCAGCTCCTGGTCTCTCTGCCGTCTGCGTGTCAGTCTCCCGGCTCTCGATCAGCGCGGTCCGGTGGGTCACGTGACGTCACGTGCCAGGGGAGGCCCGGACGCACCTGTTCGTGCAGCGGCGGGTCAATGGATCGATTAGCGGCGCTGGAGGTGCCGTGATGTCCTGACGAGCCGCCACAGACGTGCTGCGGCCGTCGGACCGAGCTAAAGCAGTGTACAGACGGAGACTCGGCAAGATTACGGACGGAGCTGCTACAGTGTACGAACGGAGTCGCAGCGCAAGGACGGAGCTGCGACAGTACACGGACGGAGCAAAAGCAGTGTATAAACGGAATCAACGCAGCGTACGGACAGAGCTACCGCAGCGAACGGACGGAGTTGTCGCACTGAACGGACGGAGTTGCGACACGGAGCGGACGGAGCTGTGGCAGTGTGTGTACCGCGCCGAAGTGTACGGACGGAGCCGCTGCAGCCTACGAACAGAGCCGCGCCAGGTTACGGGAGAGTCAAGGCGTTGTCTTCCTGTACGGTGATCGGACTCGGAGTCTCCGCACACAGTCTGTGAGGGACGTTTGGAAACTGTCATGGAGCTGCCACCGACACTGCCGCTGATGCTGCTACTGCTGGCTATCTGGATACCAAGGTCAACGGCCAAAGTGGTGCAGGGCCATCTCCGCACCAGAGAGGTATGTGACGCCTATGCTCAAGTCAGTGGTTCGGTGTTTTCTTTTCTATATAGAGAGTAGAGGTGCCGGACCGACTGCCGCAGTAGCATAAAACTTCAGTCACATTTAACCTCAGTGTCGAGAGCCGGCTACGTATCATAGTTACATACGGATTAAAAAGTGCCAAAAACGTATTCATGAGTAACTTCTTGGCCAAGCTGAACATGTTTTAGACGATAGTTGCTATGCACTAAACGATTTGAGAACGAGATGATGAGAGAAGGAAAATAAGCGAATTTGGCTGAACTGATCGAAGCAGAGTTATAGAATGGACTCAGCAACGCGGGTAGCATGATGAATTTACTGTGCAATATGCCAACATGGCGGGTCATGACAGCGAGCTTAGTCTGCGTTTGATTGTCTCAGCGTCACGAAGAACACATAATGATAGATAAAGCTCGCAAGCTCAGCGTCTGTACGCCTGAGAGGATGCTGTGCCGTATACCTACCCATTCCTGCCTTACCGCTGTAGTTCTTTCTCCTCTCGCTAGACGGCAGAAGTGAAAACGCCTGACAAGATGCTGTACCGCATAGCTCATTCCTATCCTATCGCCGTAGTTCTCTGTCTTCTCCCTAGATGGCAGAAGTAAAACGCCTGACATGATGCTGTGCCGCATATCCCGTCCTCGCTGTGGTTCTCTCTCCTCTCGCTAGATGGCAGGAGTAAAACGCCTGTAAGGTTGCTGTGCCGCATTGCACGAAGCGGAGAAACGCGGTTACGGCGGCATAGAACGACGTGTGATGGGCCTTGTTAAACATATTTTCAATGATAATCTCAGGCCAACACTTTCCAATGTCCTATATTTATTTATATATTCCCCACAGTGTTTGTGAAGGCACATAAATATTTCATTGCGTCGTGTAAAAGTAAAATAACACGGCATATTTGATATTAATTTTGCGTTGGGACAAGTCTTTCATTTTCCAACAGTAGCTAGGGCAGCCAGAGAGCGGCAAAAATAGAAACGGCAGCTTTGTCAGTTGTGACCATAGCGTCGCAACTCGCAAGGATCTAACCTTCAACCAACGCTATAATACGTTATGCCCGTTTAATCATTTAGAAATTCACCTGAAGTATCGGCAATTGACGCTCAATAGATTTTATTGATGAAAAGAGACAGGTTGACTGTATAAATGCAGCAAAGACCTTTCGTCAATCGTTACTCTAAATCATCATTTGTCGTAAATCGTTAACCGTTAAATCGTTATCAAATATCAAGTTAAAATTACACATTAATTGCCCGACGTTTCGCCCTAATTGTCGCCCTTGAGAAAGCGAATACAGCAAAAGGTCAAAAGGTCAAAAGGTCAATTTATGTGTCTAATTTTAACTTGATACCTAAAGATTTAACGATTAACAATTAAGGATATAGATAAATGACGATTTAGAGTAACGATTAGCGAAAGGTCTTTGCTGCATTTATTCAGTCAGATTTACATATATTGCTTTAGATCTACCAGCTTTTGATGAAGTGGGTATCCTACTCGTGGAAAATGGACTCCGAATATGTAATGTAGGTGCACATTCAACAGCGATCAGAAGATTGATGAGCTTAAATGGAGCTTACATGGAGTGCTACTGCGCAGTAATAATAAATAGGAGCTGAGGCATAGCATCAACATCGAATGTCAGCAGCATATCCGTGGTTTGTCACTGCCTTCATGACAATAATGCGGGTAATATCACAGTCATCGAGTCGGGTGGGACAGCAGCATTCGCCTGGTCATGGTGGTGACAATAAGCCACGAACAAAAGGCCCCAACCATGTCATTCGCTCATTGATCAGAAACGGATTTGGTCATGTCAATGTTTTCGTGTTTGGATAATGAACAATTCGTTCCTGACGCAGCTTTTACTGTACTTAAGTGGGTGCCCGTGACGCTATTCCCGTTTTCCGGTTTTGTTACAGCAATGGGCGTTTCTGACGAGGTTCTGCTTCCTGTCTGGAGAGGGCAAGTTTTCCTATCAGATAGAATACGATGCGGTAAGTAAAACAATAAAAACAATTGCATTTACTCGGGTAGAACAAAGCATGAACCACAGAATTTGAGCCATGCGATTAAACCATGCTCACCAGATTCTATAGTATCGTGTCGTTATGACAGTACCGGTACAGACTGACAATACCCGTGTTTCTCTTGTTGCAGAAGTACGCAGTGCAAAAGCTGCTGCTCTATTACGACACAGACGACCAGTGGCCAGCGATCTACAATACGGGAAAGGTATGACTATGTAGGCATTATGTAACCCATAACTAACGCCGAGGAAAAGAGTACAGTCCCAGGAAGCCGACGGCAGCCTCGCCCGTATAGGGGGGGGTCGAACGGACCCCCTCGGTTTTTCACGAATAACTCGCGTAAAAAGCGGCCGATCGCGACGAAACTTTCAGTACCCTCGCGTTAATCAATTTTACACCTACCCTAAAATTTTCGTGACCCTGACCCTAATGACCTTTGACCTGTGACCTATTTTTCGAGACCATGTTTGGCCGGAATCGCGATTCGGCGTATGTCGGCTCGCATTAGCGGCGCGTTTGCAGTCTTTTCGTGGTTTTAAGCGTTCAAACATGGGATATGATGTTGCTCCCATGCTTTAGGGTGGGTGTCAAGGTCACCGGAAGGTCAGGTCAGGTCATTGACCTTTGATGACCTCGGTTCACTTTTTCGAGTTTTACATGTTTGTAGGCCAGTGTTTTGAGCTGAATTCGAATTTAGCAACCATATGAACATTTACGAAGTAGTTTTGGTGCCTTTGTAACATGTTACGAAGCTGTCAGAGGCGGTTGCCACCTACTACGAATACCTTTACTGGTTGACCTGACCTGACCTGACCCGACCTGGCCTAAATGCATGAAGACATCATCTGTGTTCAAATCTAACATGATAATCCTGATCAGCACCCCGAAAAACCCCATAGCAGCCACGCTTTAAGACTTTCTAACAGGTCTCGATTTTCCCGACTTTTGGGTCATTGACCTGACCTGGAAGGTCAACCGATGACCTAGGACCTTAAAATTGGGTATCATCGGCTTCCTCTCGTCACGGGCAACACGCTAGTTTTTTCCGCGAAGCTCTAGCTCGATCAGGGGCGAAACGGCAAGGGGGAGTCCAACGGACCCCCCCCCCCCCCTTATACGTTTGCGGCTGGAAAAACACCAATACGGGCGAGGGTTAACCCTCGCATGTGTAGTGGTTCGGATGGACCACCACATGGTTTTTCGCGAATAACTCGCGCTAAAATCGGCCGATCGCGACCAAACTTTCAGTACCGTCGAGTTAAAGGGACCCTCCCACCTTCAAAAAAGTTAATGAATTGGCATGAAAGTAATGTCGCTCGGTTCAGAAAGAGCGAAAACGAATATCTACCAAATTTCACCGAAAAATATTCACCGGTTTTCAAGATATTAGACTTTTACTTTTGTTTACTTTTTTGGGATCTCCGCTGTTTCTAGCGACTTTATTTTAGAAGTGCGGCGTTTGCGGCAGATGTTGCGCGCAAATAGCATATACCACCGCGTGCTACAAAACGTTTTAGTCAAACATTTAAAAATCGTTAGATATCTGCGCTGACGTCACACATTCAGAGGGGTATACCTAAGCATTAGCCCCTCTGAATCAAAATGCTGCAATTTTGAAATTCAATATTTCCGATTTAAGGCATTTCTCGATGTTGTGAGTGCCGAAACCGGTAATTGTGAGCCAGGGACCCCATTTTGGCTATCTCAACTCAAATCTAATGTTAAGGTGGGAGGGTCCCTTTAAACCATTTTACACCTACTCTGAAAATTTTATGACCCTGACTCAAGTGACCTTTGACCTGTGACCTATTCCTCGAGGCCATGTTTGGCCGGAATCGCGATTCGGCGTATGTCGGCTCGCATTAGCCGCGCGTTTGCAAGCTTTTCGTGGTTTCAAACGTTCAAACATGTTGATTCGATGTTGCTCCCATGCATTAGGGTGGGTGTCAAGGTCACCTGAAGGTCAGGTCAGGTCATTGACCTTTGGTGACCTCGGTTCACTTTTTCGAGTTTTACATGTTTCTAGGCTAGTTTTTTTAGCTGAATTCGAATTTAGCAACCATTTGAACATTTACGAAGTAGTTTTGGTGCCTTCGTAACATGTTACGAAGCTGTCAGAGGCGGTTGAAACCTACTACGAAAACCCGTCAAGACCCCTACTGGTTGACCTGACCTGACCTGACCCGTCTAAATGCTTAAAGACATCATCTGTGATCAAAATTAACACGATATTCGTGATCAGCACCCCGAAAAAAACCCATAGCAGCCATACTTAACGACTTTCTAACAGGTTACGATTTTCCCGACTTTTGGGTCATTGATCTGACCTGGAAGGTCAACCAATGACCTAGGTCCTTAAAATTGGGTATCATCGGCTTTGTCTCGTGACGGGCAGCACGATCGTTTTTCCGCGAAGCTCTAGCTTGATCAGGGGCCAAACGGCAAGGGGGGGGGGATCCAACCGCCCCCCCTTACACGTTGAAGCTGGCAAACGTCGCACACGTGCGAGGGTTAAATATGCATAAGGAACACGTATGTCGTGTCGTTCTCTCGTGCCAAGCATACTGCGTGCTGCTCACTCTCTACATTTGAGGAATACAAGACTAACTTGCCTTGTTAGCGAGTTGCGCTAAGTCATTACTACTCCGTACGACTGTTCACTATGAATGCTAATACGGAACAAAACCCGTTTTGTCCACGCATTGGCTTGAAGTGATCCTCCAGAACGAACTCGATTCGACAGACGTATCTTGTCACAGTTATGTTTTGTCCTATTTGAATGTGACAATCCCACCACACCACCACACGCATGACGCGGTGTGCTGTTTCCCATTCCCTCAGACGTGCTCGGAGAAATTGTCGGTGCTCAGTGACCCGATGCGCCACCAGTTCATCAACCTCAGCTCCCAGCTCAGCACCTTCAGTGGCTGCGAGATGAGGCGTGAGACGGGCCGCGAGCCCACCTACTTCTGCGTCGGCAACCGCACCTTCATCTCCTCCAGGGAGCGCTGGTGGTTCATAGCCGTCAGCAACTGCGACTCGGAAAAGGTCGGTATAACTACCACTGGTGGTTCATAGCCGTCAGCAACTGCGACTGGGAAAAGGTCCGTATACCACTGGTGGTTCATAGCCGTCAGCAACTGCGACTCAGAGAAGGTCGGTATAACTACCACTTGTGGTTCATAGCAGTCATTAACTGCGACTCGGAAAAGGTCGGTATACCGCTGGTGATCCATAAAAGTCAGCAAGTGCGACTGGGAGAAGGTTCCTATCATAAAACGTTATTGGTCCATATCCGTCATTGCTGCAGCTGAGAAAAAGTTCACGGTACTGCCCTGGTAAATTCGGAACATAATTTAGACCGCAGCTACATTGGGTTGAGCGTAGCACGCACCGAGGGTGTCCGAGTGCTCATTCCGTGTGCTGGAGGCGGAGAGCATCGTCACTGTGATAAACCACCCATTACTGTCGAATGTGGTGCTCTCGCTAACATCTGTTATTTCTGTTTCGTCCTCAGGTGCACACTCATATCGGTCGAATTTAGTTGAATAAAACCATTGTATTCATACTACAACTTTTGGTACCACAGTCACGATAAGCGCAGAAAGCACTTAGAAGAGACCTTTAAATTTTCAGGATGACATACCTCGAACCATCTCTGCTCACTTGCTGTTTACTAAGCATAAGCAGCTCGACTAGTGCCTATAATTGTGGCAGTCGTACACTGAAAACAATTTAACCCAAGGCCCGCGAGTAAACCGGTGTTTTGCAGGTACCCCTATCTATCTTACTATTTGAACAGGATCCATCTGTTTGTTTGTTTGTCTGTCCGCCACGCCGTGTAGTGGGTTCAATTTAGCCGGCCTACAGGGCAGACGGTATCTATCTTACTATTTGAACAGGATCCATCTGTCTGTTTGTCCGCCACGCGGTGTAGTGGGTTCAATTTAGCCGGCCTACAGGGCAGACGGTATATCGTAGGGGGTTGAAATTTGCACACCTTATAGGTGACAGAGCGGGTCAGTGCCTTTTCTAGGTTCCGACTCGCTGGTGTGCACGGTTCGCGCGTGGGGCGCGCCGGAAGAACGCCAATGAAATTTTGATCGGTTCTTATATCTTCATTGAGAGCCGGGGTCGACAAACTTTGTGGACTAAATGCATGCCGATCGGCGGCGAGTGCCTCGCATTGGCGGATCGGCAAGTTATTAATTTGAATGAAAAGTTGCGAAAAAATGTGTTGATTTTCGTTCGATGGAAACAGTTTGTGATACGAGTATTCAAATGCACCGTGTTTGCCGCAATGCGCCACTTTGATGACAAGGCGCCATTTTTGCCGCAAATCGCACAGTTTTGTCAAACATAGTCCGATATGGGTGCAATTTAGTGCCAAGATGCATGGTAAATCGCCGGGTGAAAATGCGCCGCGTTTGTCGCAACGCGCCACATATGCCACAAAGCGCCATTTCCGACAAAATCGAGTAAGGGCAATGGAATGGCACGAATTATTCTGTGACCTGACATGACCCAGCGGTGTTGGTAGGGGTAGGGGTAGGGGTAGGGGTAGTGGTAGGGGTAGTGTAGTGGTAGGGGTAGGGGTAGGGGTAGGGGTAGGGGTAGTGGTAGGAGTAGTAGTAGGGGTAGGGGTAGTGGTAGGGGTAGTAGTAGGGGTAGTAGTAGGGGTAGTGGTAGGGGTAGTGGTAGGGGTAGTGGTAGGGGTAGTGGTAGGGGTAGGAGTATGGGTAGTAGTAGTGGTAGGGGTAGGGGTAGATGTAGTGGTAGGGGTAGGGGTAGTGGTAGTGGTAGGGGTAGTGGTGGAGGCAAAAGCAGAACAGTGGCCCGGGCTGATCCCAGCGGACGAGAAGTGACCATGTGACCTGGCCTGACCCAAAGCGACCGGGGCTGACCCCTTTGACCCGTCTTGACCCCGTACCTATCACCCAAATTTCATCCAACAACGCCCTCAGAACAATTCTTTCTTTTTAATTCTCTTCACATTTCCGTCCATATCTATGCTTCTAGATGACACATCGACATGAATCAAACACCATTCGAAAGCAAATTGGCTGGTGCCGCAATTTTTTTCTACCACGCAGCAAAGCAAGTGGCGCAGCCGCTTGTCTATCTTACTATTTGAACAGGATCCATCTGTTTGTTTGTTTGTCTGTCCGCCACGCCGTGTAGTGGGTTCAATTTAGCCGGCCTACAGGGCAGACGGTATATCGTAGGGGGTTGAAATTTGCACACCTTCTAGGTGACAGAGCGGGTCAGCGCCTTTTCTAGGTTCCGACTCGCTGGGGTGCACGGTTCGCGCGTGGGGCGCGCCGGAAGAACGCCACTGAAATTTTGATCGGTTCGTAGATCTTCATTGAGAGCCGGGGTCGAAGAACTTTGTGGACTAAATGCATGCCGATCGGCGACGGGTGCCTCGCATTGGCGGATGGGCAGGTTTTAATTTGAATGAAAAGTGGCGAAAAAATGTGTTGATTGTCGCTAAATGGGTACAGTTTGTGATAGGAATTTACAAATGCACCGCGTTTGCCGCAAGGCATCACATTGGTCACAGGGCGTCATTTTTGCCGCAAATCGCACGGTTTTGTCAAATATGGTCCGATATGGGTGCAATTTGGTGCCAGGATGCATGCTCAACCAACAGGTTCAGATGCGCCGCGTTTGTCGCAGTGCGCCACATATGCCACAAAGCGCCATTTCCGACAAATTCGATTAAGCGTAATGCAATGGCACGAATAGGGGCAGGGCTGGGAACACTCTAAGTCTGATATTTTAGTACTGATTGGATCCAATTATTCTGTGACCTGACATGACCCAGCGGTGCTGGTAGGGGTAGGGGTAGGGGTAGGGGTAGGGGTAGGGGTAGGGGTAGGGGTAGGGGTAGTGGTAGTGGTAGGAGTAGTAGTAGGGGTAGGGGTAGTGGTAGGGATAGTAGTAGTGGTAGGGGTAGTAGTAGGGATAGTAGTAGGGGTAGTGGTATGGGAAGTGGTAGGGGTAGGAGTATGGGTGGTAGTAGTGGTAGGGGTAGATGTAGTGGTAGGGGTAGGGGTAGGGGTAGTGGTAGGGGTAGTGGTAGGGGTAGTGGTAGGGGTAGGGGTAGGGGTAGGGTTAGGAGTATGGGTAGTAGTAGTGGTAGGGGTAGGGGTAGATGTAGGGGTAGGGGTAGGGGTAGTGGTAGTGGTAGTGGTAGGGGTAGGGGTAGTGGTAGGGGTAGTGGTAGGGGTAGGGGTAGTGGTGGAGGCAAAAGCAGAACAGTTGCCCGGGCTGATCCCAGCGGACGAGAGGTGACCTATGTGACCTGGCCTGACCCAAAGTGACCGGGGCTGACCCCTTTGACCCGTCTTTACCCCGTATCAGCCAAATTTCATCCAACAAAGGCCTCAGAACAGTTCTTTTTTAAATTCTCTTCACATTTCCGTCCATATCTATGCTTCTAGACGACACATCAATTTGAATCGAACACCATTCGAAAGCAAATTAGCTGGTGCCGCAATTTTTTCCTACCACGCAGCAAAGCAAGTGGCGCAGCCGCTTGTCTATATTACTATTTGAGGAGGGTGCGTCTGTCCGTTACCGAGGTCCCGACTTGGTCGTGCTTTGCGTGGACTGCAGGCCAGACCGTTGCACCTAGCCCGGTGAAATTTGCACAACTTATAGATCAAGGATGCGCGACGTGCCTTTGAGGGGTCTCAGCTCGATCGGATTGATAGGGAGCGCGTGGCGCGTGCTCAAAAAGTGCAAATTCGCGTCATAGACTTTACATGTATAAATCGGCGTGCGAAATCGGGCGAAAACGGCTAATTTTGGCCGACACGGGTCCAGTTCCCGTGCAATATCTTGGTGACCAGGGGTCCGACCGGCACGGGGAAAACAGCATCGTGTAGATGATTGAATGGGCAATTGAATGGTGTGCGATATAGAGGATAGCACGCGCCACGTGCACCGGGGAGGGCAGTTTTGTTGAAAAATTGCGGTTTTGGGCGGATTTTGGAATTGATTTTATTATTAGGTGACCGTTTAACAGAGCGAGTTGGAACAACGCCTGTTGGCAAGAGAAATGTACCGCCTATCATATAAAAATTGTGAAAAGCTGATTGATCCAATTCAAGGTGGTACGAATCACGGGAGAAAATGGTGTTTGTCAATTTTGTGCCACTTTGTTTATCAAAATGGTTTTACTCCATAATCTGATATCTTTGGCAGTTAAAAAATGGCAACGTTGGAAAGAGCATTCAATTCTGTCCAAGGTTCAGTCTTCACTTTTGCAGGATGAGCAACAGTATTCTTAAAAATGTTAATATTCCAAACTATTACATTGTCATTTTTAGCGAAATTCATCGATGGCCCTCAAAAGACTTCACGCCAGTTTTCGAATCATTCTTAAGCAGAACGCATGATAATACGACACGGGCACCTCGATGCGATGTATCTTTGTTTTATTACAAAATGCTTGGCCGTGAAAAAGCAATCGAACGAAATGGATACCAATCAAATCGACACAGACCAATCCAATACCCACGGGTCAAAAACAACCCCTCTTCGCGTTGCGGAGCACGCGGGTAACCCTAGTCCGCAACCATTTTTAACCACCCTCCCAGGAGTACAGTAAGGTCCCATTGCAGTGTAGTCGTCCCTGCTCTTAGCGGACTTGTTCGCTGACAACGGTTATATCCGCTCAGAGCAAGTACGACTACACCGCAATGGGACCTAGCACTACTCCTGGGAGGGTGATTAAAAATGGTTGCGGACTAGGGTTACCCGCGTGCTCCGCAACGCGAAGAAGGGTTATTGTTGACCCGTGGGTATTGGGTTGGTCTGTATCGATTTGGTTGGTATCCATTTCGTTCGATTCCTTTTTGAAGGCCAAGTATTTTGTAATAAAACAAAAAAGATACATCGCATCGAGGTGCCCGTGTCGTATTATCATGCTTTCAAGAATGATTTGAAAACTGGCGTAAAGTCCTTTGAGGGCCATCGATGAATTTCGCTAAAAATGACAATGTAATGGTTTGGAACATTTACATTTTTAAGAATACTGTTGCTCATCATGCAAAAATGATGAGTGAATATTGGACAGAATTGAATGCTCTTTCCAACGGTGCCATTTTTAATTGCCAGAGATATCAGATCATGGAGCAAGACCCGTGTGATTAATAAAGTGGCACAAAATTGACAAACACCATTTTCTCCCGTGATTTGTACCACCTTGATTTGGATCAATCAGCTTTCCACAATTTTTCCATGAGAGGCGGTACATTTCTCTTGCCAATAGGCGCTGTTCCAACTCGCTCCGTTTAATGGTCACCTAAAAATAAAATCAATTCCAAAATCCGTCAAAAACCGCAATTTTTCAACCAAAGCACCCTCACGGGTGCACGTGGCACGTGCCATCCCCTGTACTGCATATCATTCGATAACCTGTTCAATTATCTACATGATGCTGTTTTCCCCGTGCCGATCCGGCCCACGGTTACCGAGATATTGCACGGGGATCGGACCCGTGTCGGGCAAATTTAGCCATTTTCGCCCGATTTTGCAAGCCGATTTATACATGTATAGTCTATGACGCGAATTTGCACTTTTTGAGCACGCGCCACGCGCTCACTAACGACCCGATCGAGCTGAGACCCCTCAAAGGCACGTCGCTTATCTTTGATCTATAAGTTGTGCAAATTTCACCGGGCTAGGTGCAACGGTCTGGCCTGTAGTCCACGCAAAGCACCACCAAGTCGGGACCTCGGTAACGGACAGACGCACCCTCCTCAAATAGTAATATAGATAGGGGTACCCGTAAAACACCGGTTTACTCGCCAGCCTTGGGTTAAATTGTTTTCAGTGTATGTAGGTCCGACGTACAACCCTGACTGACTCGCCTGATCCGTCGCAGGGTCTCGACCTGAAGTATGACTTTCTGATGACTAATGGTCCCGAGGAGAACTCCTGGTTATACCACTTCTCAGCCGACGAAATGTGTAAGTGTCCGTCAACATGCATGGGTAACAACTAAACAAGGCACACTAAAGCAAGGACTATCATACACGACACACTGTTGAACTGAAAACCGCTTGTGCCTGATTGGTTACAGTTCATCAGGCTGTAATTACAACACATCCATAATTAAAGTATTAAAATTGCATCACACAATGATCTCAAACTAATTACGTATCATTTCTTAATTACGTTGAAATTAAACAAATGTAGATCATGTAGAGCGTCAGAAATAAGGTAGGCAAAACCAAACGGGGATTGACGATGCTGATGATGCTGATTGTTTTTTTGGGGGGGAGGGGGGCTTAGGGGGCCCGGGGTAAGGTGGTCATCGGCGACCATCAAAATACGGGGATTGAGAGTTTATGTGCGCCTATGCCGGCAGATATTCTGCGGACCAACATATGCATGCTGTGCGGCCAGCTAGTCGTCCTCTTCGCAAGCATCATCTTATCCGGTAATAAATCATTGCTGGAGTAAACAAAGGCATACCGTTGATTACACACACGCTTCGGCCACATCGATATCTATCCAAAAGCACGGCCCTCATTGCTCACAAAGAATACAGCAAAAGCGTTACCGGGAAGTGAGTTTGTGTCGTAACTAACAACACACCGTTAAAGTGCATCGGTCTGTGCCGTCTGGTTCATACGGCGTCATAAGGGGTTCATGGACGTAGTAGGGTGAGTGCAACATCGGCAAGGCCCCTAATCTTTCGATGGGAATGCACACGGGTAATTTTGAGGCCCACTGTCGGACGGTATTGAAGATTAGTTTTGATTACAAAATTTGTTGGACAGTAGGTGCATATTTATTTACAGTACTAAGTACGCATTTTATTTTATTATAGTACGTATTTTAGACAGAAATACCGAGGGCATTTGTCAAACGGTATTACGGTTGGGTCATGCTGGACCGTCTGGCGGTCGTTCGGTACGGTTGGATTGTTCGACCGTGTCCGAGCGGTGGAATACACCCCCCGGTATCCGGTGTAAAGCATATTGATCGGGCCGAGTGCCCGCTGTCAGTGCCGCTAGCAGCATAGCCTCGCCCACTTATCACCGACGTTACTAGTATCGAGCCATGCGGAGCGAGCTCGGCCCACAACGTAAAACGGAGCACCAACGAGTGCCTGTCGGCGTTGGTAGGCCCCAGGACCATAGAAATATGCGCGTTCCATCGCAGTTCCCCTTTCATTCATGACGAAATCCAGTTACCCCTCATCAAGGACGTAAACGTAATGTGTCCTTATCTCTTATACCCAGCAGCAATTGTCTGATATTTAACCACAGCCCCAGTACCAGCCCCTCCCGATATGTGACTCTCACCTCCCATCCTGACGACCGGCAGTGGAGCTGAGGAACCGGGGCCTGTTCCACACCACCTACAAGCTGTTCATGGCGTCGCTGCTGCTGCAGACGGCCGGCCTGGCGCTCCTCTGCGCCGCCTACGCCCGATACGCACAGGACGGCGTCGGCCTGCCAAAGTCCAAACTGATCGGTAAGGAAACTTCTGTACCGGTTTCCCTCGATGGCCTTAGGAGATTCAGGAAGACGGCTCCAAATGATCGATACAACAGGATGGTCAAAACTGAAAACTTACTTTGAAGCGGCTGCTTTATTTGAACGGTGGTTGCTTTGTACGTATGACCTTTTCTCTCTGTGTGATCTGTTCCAAGATTACTCTTCATCTGCCCTGCGCAGGTCGTGTTCTGGAGGCTGGCAGCGACTTCACCTTCCTGCTTCTGCTGCTGCTCTGCGCTAAGGGCTACACCATCACTCGCGGGAGGCTGCGGCAGGCCAGCGCCATCAAGCTGACCATCTTCCTCGCCCTCTACGTAGCTACCTGGGCCGTGCTCTTCGTCTACGAGCAGGTGGTGAGTCCATGAGACCGACGGGGTCAGCTCTGCGCACTGCTGACGAGCGGCGGTCGAGCGAGAGCGATTGTGGCGTACATAATTGACGAGCCAGGTGGTGGCCACTGGGCTTGTCTGCCGAAGGTCGGTAAGCCGGATCGACCAGGGGATGCGGTCGATGGCAGACCAGCGCGAGCGGTCGGCAGTGTTAGTGGCCAGGCTGTCAGCAGTTGGATGGCCGATGGCAGCCACTCAGTGCCTTTGAAGTTTGAGAGTCCAGGGCCCAAGTACCTTTGGACACTCTGACTGTCCGCGGCAGCCGTGAGCGCTCGATCCAAACAATTCAGCCCACACATTTCAGCAACTGCTGTTCAAAAGGTTTCAAGAGCGCTTTTGACGGTTATGGATTGCTGGATTTTTCGACAAAGGGTTGGCCGGTCCAAGCTTTTGCCCAACTGTTCAGGCGTTGAAACACAATCCGTTGACAATCGAATGTGAAAAGACATGTTTTGTCTTTCGAAATCGTTACTAACGATGAACACTCCATGTCCCATGACAAGCATTGTTGTAGGCTAGCGACAAACCAAAAGTTTGTCGAATCCACATTTTATTTCATGTGCGTGCCAATCTGAGCTCTGAATGCGCATGTTCAACGTCTCCGTGCAACCCTGGTTCAGGCAGTTGTGCTCTATGACATTGATGCGAGGCTCAGGCATCGCTCTGTCACACTGCTGGTTTATTTCGCGTGTGTCACGCAGCCATTGACCAAGCAAATACTGCATTAAAACGTAACAATTCCGCTAATGGAGCTGTACATATATAGCCTGCCAGGGTGACTGCGGAGTCTGGAAATACGAACCATTGTGAGCGCTAATTATGCGGCGCGACACTCGACAGATCGAAAGATTTCATCAATCCTCAAACAGCGCGGCGGGACGAGCGTCCGAGCCTCTGAGAATGTATCGCCAACAGTTCCAATTCTCGCTCGGGAGCAGTTACAGCGACCGATCAGATCAGCTATTTCTGTGGCGATCGTTACGTGACAACTGAGACTCTATTAAAAGAAACGAGTTTTCGTCCCAGATCAGGTGCTGCCCCTGTATGTGTTTGTGCCCCGTGTGCTGCGTTTTTTCCACGCCCAAGCTAATGTAGTTAAGGTCTCCGCGCTGCAGTTTTTCGACCTCGGGTACGGGGTAGGTGCTGTACCTATAATGTCTCTGTGCCGCAGTTTTTCGACCCCGGCGAGGTGCTCTACCTGTACGAGTCGCCCGGCGGCTACGGCCTGATGCTGCTGAAGCTGCTCGGCTGGGCCATGTTCATCTACTCCACCTCGTTCACCATCAAACACTACCCGGAAAAGTGGAGCTTCTACCTGCCCTTCTCCATGTACTACACCGTCTGGTGAGTGAAGCATTGTGCACTGGTGGGCACGTTTATAATGCCATCGATTTGACGAACTGGCGTTTGATGACTGATAATGTCCGATACAACACTTCAACGATTATCGACTTAGGCCCTGGAAACATCAAAGCTCGGCCGTTCAAACCGTTCTCGGAAAACAGCTTCAAACAGCAGAGCTGTTTTCTGTTATTAGCGTCAATGGATCAATGTCAACGACAGTCGACAATGTCGAAGCCAGCACGCGGCACACATTTCAAACGCATACTTGCATACGAGCAGACTCTGTATCGAGTATCGACCACATGCAGATACTAAGACGCTAACCCTTTAAATGCTCATCACAATATGCTAGCGAGACCATCCAGCAGAGGCCACCAAACCGGATCGTAAATCGTATAACCACACCCGTGTTGCCGCTGGTCTGTCAGGTTTCTCTCGGCGCCGATGGTCATCATGTGCTCCAACTACCTCATCGACAAGTGGGTGCGAGAGAAGGTGGTCAACGGCGTGGAGCACGGCATCGCCTGGTGCGGACAGGTGTTCTTTCTGGTGAGTCAATGTAACGGATCGACCCGGTCCCGGGGGACCAGTCACATACCCAGTTCTGGAAAATACAGCCGTTCATGGGTCGAATCCCTGAAATGATTGTGTTATGCTTACACCCGATGCGGAAATCTCCAGTCGCTAATGCGCTTTGCCGTTGTTTCCAGATTCTGACGCGTCCAACGGCGGCCAACAAGAACTTCCCGTTTCACGTGCGGACCTCCCAGATCAGCATCATGGAGCAGCGCCCGAACGGTACGTGTTCCAGGGCCAGTAGTGGAACGGGGTGCCAGAGGCAAGTGGCATTTCAGAGGTCAGTGGCAGGTGCGTCCTGTGTTAGCGGTGCAACGGTGCATGCCAACGGTCGGGCCAGCGGCAAAATCAATGAACGATGCAATACTGAAATGCAATCCCCTGAAATATGCGAGCAGTGGTGCCCTGGGGAGCTCGGTAAAAGAATACGCTAACAAACTGATGCATTTCTTTTTCTTAAAAATGGTCTTATTTTGACATTTTCAGTGAACAAGTGAACAAGTAAACTTTACGGGTTTCAATGCTCACACTGGACCTATCCAGGTGGATTTGCTTGCAGGATTGTATTTGAAACCCCGCTACTCTCCGCTTTTCTCAGGTACGGCCGGCAACAACAACCTGGACCACTTCAGCGCGCACCCGTACGCGCCCAGCGCGCCGAACGGGGGTCCGTGGCGCGGCGCCGACCGCCAGAGCACGCCCACCGAGCTGTTCGTCATCTCGGCGCCGCAGATGATCGTGAGTGGACGAAGCCGAGGAGATGATGTTAGGACCGCCTGCTGACCCGTTATACCAAGTTCCGTCCAAGGCTATATAAACTGTTCCGTACAACTTCCATGTTTCCCATGGGAAAACTTTCTCGACCCACAGGGCCAAATTCTTAACGTCGGTACCAATTCTCATTTGCATCAACCTTCGATTCCCTAATCCCTTGTAATTTTCACCCACTAATTTTTTCCGTTTCAGCCGTCTGTGCCCGGCGACAAGCCGTACATCAAACAGGATGCCAGCTTTCCTCACCAACGAAACGGCAACGTACTGGAGAACTGACAACGCTGCCAGTGATACCGAGTCGTCTCCTAACACAACGTCACACAAGCCGCGGATAACGTCACAGTATAGTATGATACCAGCTGCAAATGACGTCGACTCTGAGACACTCGGTCGCCAGAGGCCGATCTTGAATATAGTTTTCGGCCAACAGTTTAGAGCTCATGACGAACGATGATGATGTTTTAGGGCGCCTTGACTGCGGTGGTCATCGGCGCCCAAACTTAAAAGCTCAGAATCCCCAAACGGGGTCAAACCAAGTGGTAGCGGTTTGTAGATGGTCAGCATATTCAAGATTTGTCTGACATTCAGACATCGCGCTCAGCGGTTCAGAAAAGAGAACCACTCGGCACACTCATTGGCCATTGCGCTGTGTGCCGTGACGATTTATGGGTTATCGGAAAAGACAGGGGCCCTGTCTTTTCCGATAACCCATAAATCGTCACAGGGGACTGGTCACTTATAGTCGGCAGCATTTTGATATGATAGGCGTGATTAAGTTACATGTGATGTTGTTCGTCATTTGTGCACCTTTTTTCACAATATGTCGTGATTGGCGTGGATGGGGCATAGACGACATTTATAGGGCTGTGCCCGACTTGACGTTCTTTAATCGTAAAAGCCGTCCGTTTCACCCGTCCGCTTTCGCAGTCGTTTGACATACTGCGACATAAGTAAGATGTTCTTGCATGCACCTAACGATATGTGCACTGGTAGGTGGTTGTAGCACACTGAATACGTAACATCAAAAGTAACGTGGCGCTGGAGATGTGTGCAATAAAAACTCAATTATTGCGCAATGATGCTATGTTGGTTATGGTGAGATAAACCTCAAGTGTCGTACTTTGGATATGTGCCCTGTACTGCCACCAATACAACACGAGCACTAAGCGAACGAGGACGCGACCGCGAGATGAAATGAAAAAATCCCGGAAACGCATTACTCGGGAAAGGATTTGAACTTTTGAAGAAAGCCATGAACCACTCAGCTCACTTCCACGATGTGCGCAACTGCGCACGTCGCACACCAATCGTCGTTGTGATTGCATCAGACGCCGGTGACGAGGCCACTTTTTGTGCGCTCTTCTGCCAAGGACAGGGGTATAGCCGCAGGGGGCGGGACTCTGTATACGGTAGGGTCATCATGACGAGCCCCCCGCTGCTGCCGGAGCAGCGGTGTCATACATTCACCGGCCGCTCATACGTTGTGATACGTTGTGACCATGAACCCTTGGAGAAACTCCACTCACGATAGGAGTTAATGGTCTACAGTCTACAGTCCCAGAGCACTGTTTGACCAGCAATACAGTCGTTATCGGTCGAGATGGTTATTTTTGCTACCATAGGATAGGATGCGCCCCAGACCTACGTGGAGTGCCTTTGGCGACGAGCCAAGTGCTGTATTTTTTGCAAGTCATATCCTCATGGGTCGTCGGGCCGAGAGTGGCGCACAGTGTGACCAATCAACCGGTTAAAGGAGAAATAGTAAGGACTTATTAAAGGAGCCCGTCGTAGTAAGTCCCTGGCAACAAATTGTTGAGATGGCGTACCCTGCTAAGTTTTGTGTTTAAACTAAGACTAATGCCCTAGTAGCTTTTATGCACATAGCGGATAAGAGCCATCGTTCGAATCAGCGGAACAGGCAGAAACGAAATGCACTTCCATCACAAATTAGAAAATCAGAGATGCGGCAAAAAAAGCAGAGCAGCCTTAACAGTTAACATTATCAACCTTGCTCCTCGAATCAATAAATGACGCTGGAAACATAGAGGAATTTTGCAGCTCAATTTGTTTGCGTTAGTTCGCCAGCCATTACACCGTGCACCGCTGTGTATAACTATCGTCTCGAGGAGAGGCGGCGACGGCAGGCGGCAGTCAGACAGCAGGGCCGTATCCACCGGCGCGGAGCATCAGGGTCGCTGTGCGGAGCCAGTCAACGAAAAGGGAGCCGGTCTTGACGAGAGACCAGGTAAGCCATATGCTTGGAACAACTGCCGAGTTGCGGTGCCCTATTGCCACTTCCACTTGTTTGGATAAGGCCCATGAGAAGGTTCCGTAATCCGTATATTTAATGATGCACGAGTCCACGACAAGCAATCGAGCAGCGAAATTAATGGCTACCTGTCCAATTCCCGAAATTGACGATATTTGCATCTCGGCGGAATGGGACACGGATCTCTAGCAATCACTAAAATCAGCAAAGCAAAGATGATCAAATATCTCATTCGACGGCCTCCGCTCGCCGGTCGAAGACCGTCATGAGCCGGTACAGTCACGTCCCCTATCAGTGTCGCCCAGCTGACAGATGACGCCACCCCCGTTGACAGGATGGCGTCACCCAATGAGAACAGGCCGTTCCCGTTCAAGCTGTTGCCGCCGAGCGACGATGTCCAGCAGAGGGTGGCGCGGAATTTCGTCGGGTTGCCCAACGGCCTGGTGTCGTGTAACCACTGGGGCTACAAGTCGGCTGCCTCGGCCACCGACCGGGAGCTGGAGGAGCTCTATAACCACCCGCTGGACGCGCGGGATACCTGGGTGGTGACGCCGCCAAAGTGCGGCACCAACTGGACGCTGGAGATGGTGTGGCTCATCGCCAACGACCTCGACTACGAGCGCGCCAAGGCGCCGCTCAAACCGGACAGGTGCGCGTATGTAGGACCTTTCTACGTCGCCGTACGTCACTGACCAGACCTGTCCAGACGCCTGCTCTTTTTCAGCCATATAAACAGAATTCGGTAGACCGATAACTGAGCAATAAATCAGTAACTAATCATTTTACCAGTCAATAGGATATGCTGCGAAAAAATAAAGCAGATTAGAACAGTGCCATGGATATGCAATCCACGGCCCAGGACTTCGTCTATGCCTTGCCTAATCGGGCATATTCATGACCCCAGGTCCCTTCCTTCCCAGGTGGAGCTTCATCGACTTCCACCTGCTGTCGGATAAGGCGGTGAGGGCCAAGCTGATGCCTGCACGCCCCGGTGGCGGCGGTCCGTCGGGCAGCAGGCCGCCGGCGGACGGTGTCCAGGTGCGGCCGTCACCGGCGTTCGTCAACACCCACCTGCCCATGTCGCTCAACAACCCGCGCCTGCTGGACGTCTGCAAGGTGGTCTACGTGGCCAGGAACCCCAAGGACGCCTGTGTCTCCTTCTACAATCACTGCCGCCTGATCAAGATGGTCGACTTCACCGGAAACCTCGAGGCAAGGGCCTTAAAGCATGGGCATACATTGGCATAATGGAGGGATAGTTCTATCGGGAATACCTGCCGCAATGGTGAAAGCAGCAAGGAAAGTAGTTGGCTTAGGCTGCAAGCAAGGTTAATGCTCATTTAATGCGTCTTATTTTGGAGTAGAAAGTTGTAGAAAGCTGAGAACATGAAATCGGGCTACATGCCCTAAAAGTAAATCGCGTCTACCACTTGTGACGTGCGGCTTCTTTCGCAGGAATTCATGGAGATGTTCATGAACGGGGAAATCATCGCAACCCCCATCGTCGACCACATAATTGAGGCATGGAATCTACGACACCACCCAAACATGTGCTTCCTCTTCTACGAGGACATGAAGAAGGACCTGAGGGCGCAGATCCGCAAGGTGGCCACCTTCCTGGGAAAAACGTTCACCGACGACCAAGTGGACAAGCTGGCGGAACATCTCCACATCGACAACTTCAAGAAGAACCCCTACGTCAATATGGAGGGGGGCAAGATGGCGGGTTTCATGTACCAAGACCGCGGGAACTTTATCAGGAAAGGCAAGACGGGCGACTGGAAGAACCACTTCAGCCCCGAGATGACGGCCAGGTTCGACGCGTGGCTAGAGCACAAGCTGAGGGGCACTGACCTCACGTTCGTGCAGGAGCTAGAGCACCAGGACTGACGAACTAGGCACATACGCCGATTGGCTGTGCGAAAGGGAGAAAATGTACTCTAGGCCCAATCATAGCACGAGTCAGCGGCTTGGACGCGGTGCTGCCGGCTACGATGCAATTTTGTAATCTACATACAACATCACCGGGCTATACTATAACATACCTATTACCTATACTATAAAGTATGAACGGCACCTGATTGTATATGCTACTACCTACCTACAATAAATGCAACGTTTTTGGCACAGTTAAGAACTGTCCGAAAAATTACACCAGCGCCTCGAACCTTTCAGGGTAGGCAAACACCTCAGCAATTAAAAAAGTACCTACAATTAAAAAAGTTTGGGAGTGAGATAGTGCAAGTGATAGGCACCTAACGAGCTACGGAGTCTTCAAGGAGCGACGGAGCACATCATATTCGAGTGCAAAACGATAAACGGATTAGGATGGAAGCACAAAAGTGATAATTTTACAGTTTAACAAGGATGTTTCGACCTCACAAAACCATTTCGGGCAATGACGTGGAAAGCATTGGGCTGAAAAAGCCATCGATAACCATTCGGTGCGTACCTATACATCAGGGCCTCGGCTAAGGAATTTTGACTGGTGGGCCACTTGGGCAGCGACATGGACTGACCTTCGTAGCCATAGCCCCCCCCCCAATTTTCGATTTCTCCCCAGATTTCGGCCACTTTATTCTGCAAAAAAAACGTCAGGATGGCATTCAAAAAATGTAAGAAAAAACGGGGCTCGACCCCCCCGACTCTTCAGAGAGAGAGAGAGAGAGAGAGGAGAGAGAGAGAGAGAGAGAGAGAGAGAGAGAGAGAGAGAGAGAGAGAGAGAGAGAGAGAGAGAGAGAGAGAGAGAGAGAGAGAGAGAGAGAGAGAGAGAGAGAGAGAGAGAGAGAGAGAGAGAGAGAGAGAGAGAGAGAGAGAGAGAGAGAGAGAGAGAGAGAGAGAGAGAGAGAGAGAGAGAGAGAGAGAGAGAGAGAGAGAGAGAGAGAGAGAGAGAGAGAGAGAGAGAGAGAGAGAGAGAGAGAGAGAGAGAGAGAGAGAGAGAGAGAGAGAGAGAGAGAGAGAGAGAGAGAGAGAGAGAGAGAGAGAGAGAGAGAGAGAGAGAGAGAGAGAGAGAGAGAGAGAGAGAGAGAGAGAGAGAGAGAGAGAGAGAGAGAGAGAGAGAGAGAGAGAGAGAGAGAGAGAGAGAGAGAGAGAGAGAGAGAGAGAGAGAGAGAGAGAGAGAGAGAGAGAGAGAGAGGAGAGAGAGAGAGAGAGAGAGAGAGAGAGAGAGAGAGAGAGAGAGAGAGAGAGAGAGAGAGAGAGAGAGAGAGAGAGAGAGAGAGAGAGAGAGAGAGAGAGAGAGAGAGAGAGAG